ACAGCCATTTAACCTTTAACCTTGGGTAGCTTTAGATTAGCTTGGCACCCCTCATAACTCCAGATGATTCTGCAATAATTTCAGAATCAAGAGAGCCAGTCAAGCAGTCAAAACAAACAGGTACTGTGCTCTGGGAGAATCCAGTGTTGATCAGCCGATCACTAACCGCTGCGGGGGCTTCACGGGCCGGCTGCTTGTAGGTTAGACCCGGTCAGGTAATACAGCAAGTCCCTGTACAGGAACATTCCCAGACATGCAGGAACCTCAGGCCCTGTGTTTTTCTCCACATCCTCTAGTCACAGTGCAGCAGCAGGAGGGAAAATATATCCACAAAACCAGGTGCAGTCAAAAAACTCCACTTTTACAATGGCACCATGGATGTCAGGCAAGCTCCCATGAACGCGCAACGGCCTGGAGATTATGACTGTTCGAGGAAATGCTTAAACTATCATGTAATACTTTATTTTGGTAGAAAAAGTCTTGCGAGCGAGAGTTTATGAGATGTGTATAAACTGAGTTGCTTCTGCATAGAAATACTAAAACATACGTTCACCTCATTTTTTGAGCTCACGTCTAAGATGATAATTCACTGTTGTAACATTGTAGATAAGTCAGAAAACAAGGAAAAGCATGAGCCATGGGCTTTTTAATGTCAACAATGCAGTAGGACTGTGAGACATATAATTTTTATTGGGTGTTTCACATACGATGCCACTCACATAGAAGTATTCACACATACAGGAGCTCATCTCCATCAACAATTAGATCTGTTATTTAGTAGATTTTTGTTACCATGGTGACTCTTAAAACACACACACACACACACAAATCTATCTATATCTCCACCTTTGTTACCATGAATATTTAACAGATAAACAGCAGCCAGTTGTCAAAATAACTGAACAGGTTCACCAGAAAAGGAAAAGACAAACATGAATTTGATATTATTATTATGGCGCAGCTGCACATGAGCGGATGGTTTATATGAAGTTTGGAGTCTCAAGCGAGCATAACGCCATTTGCCGTCTGCCACTGGAAATGCGACTATGTCTGTCTGTGAGGTAACTGTAGCATGTTTTGAGTGGGACTGAGAATGTAATCCAAACCAGCTACAGGAAAGAAACCTAAAACACAAGGGTTTGTGGGTACACGTGATAGCCAGTAGTTAAACGCTGCAGTGCCTGACAGAACAAAATGAAATGAAAGCAAACCGCAGATGCTCATATTCAGCTTTTTCTTCATGTGCTCTCCACCGGCAGGAACACCACAGACTTTAACACAACATGGAGCTGAAGTTACAGGACCTGCTTTCAGATGTGTTTGAACGCTCCTTCAACGCCAACATCTCTAACCCGGCAGGGTGACATGTTACCAAAACTCTAACTCCAAAGCTACCTGTGAGCCCATGTGACGTTTGTTTACCATCTCTAGTTCACTTGGATTTGGGTGAAGTGAAACTAAATACCAGCATGCAACAGTCAGCTTTCCTTGACTACAATCACATGTGAGCGCAGTCCATTTGATGTGGGTCCATTAAAGCACACAGTTGTATACACTCCTTTAGATGCATGCCACCACCACAGCTACCACAGGAGGAAAAGATACAACACAATTTGGTCTTTCTAAAAAGTAGCTGTATATTGATTTTGATTCTTTTTGGCTGAAGCAAAGTGGTTTTAGAGAGGAGGGAGGGGGAGGGAGGAAGAGCTTTTAAGGGAAGTGGAGGAGGGAAGTGTAGTTGTGGTAGTGGCTGGCAGATGGGGAGGCAGGTGGGTCACACCAGCATCTTATTCAAAACAAATGTAAAAAAAAAAAGTGTATAAATGATAAAACAGAGCCTTTATGAGGCTAGTTAGGTAAGCGTGACCAGTGGAGAAAGGGAAGGAACACAGTATATGCTAATATGTAGTACTAGAATCCTGGTGATGTCCTCTACTAAGCTACCATGACAATGAAAGCCATCATTAGGTAACTGCATGGTCAGGCTGACATGAAGAACAAACCCATTTTGCTGTTCAGTGGCTAATTTGAGTTAGCTGCTGCTTGTGTATCTGTGCCAGGCAAGAAGAGCTAGTGTTACGCTGCACTGACACAGCAACGCAGACAACCTTGACCCCTTTATCAGTTGTATGGTAGCGTAAACAGACACCGACCTCCTCCAAAATCACATGCATGTGTAGAGCTGAACATACAGTATGTACTGAGCAGTACAGTTAGCAAATGCTGTACATGTTTTTCAAAAGCCCAGGAATATCTAAGTGTAGAAGACAATTACTTTTACAGGCTGATTAACAACAAGCTACAAACCAGGGTTTAACTGCAGAGTAATCCCCATAGTGGGGAACTGCTGTCCTTTCATTAAATCTCAAAGATCAGGCAGTGTGAGGCGTCCATCTCTGGTACGACGGGGATTTCTAACAGATTACTCATTGCATTGTTTTCTGCTGTATGAATGCATTTGAAAGCAGCTATTTTCTCTGCTTCTCTGCTACTGAAAAGCCCTGAGTGATCACATCCAAACCCCAAAAGAATTCATTAGGTGAAGTTTATATGGTGGGTTTAGTGTATGTGCTGTTTAATGGGATGGGGGTGGGGGGTGCAATTTAAAATAGTGGATACTAACACCAAATCTATCAGCAGCCTCACTCCAAACACATCTTTACAGTACATCTACAGTACTTCTGTACACAAGCAGGGGAGAATGGGCAGGATTTGATCAAAAGGGGTTGAGAGGAGTGGGACTGAATTGGGCGATGAGATCACCATGGCAACGAGGACCTCCGTGGCGTTGAGCATGAGGGGAATGTAGGAGGGAGTTTCATGCTGAAGTGGCCTGAAGTGGAGGGAATTGCTCTTCACTTTTACAGTTTTGGGAGATTCTCATGGCCGCGGTCCACTGTTCACACACACACACACACACACACACACACACACACACACACACACACACACACACACACACTCCCTCTCACACACACCATTACATCACAGATAATAACACTTATATAACTAGGCTGTCTGGACACCGTGGTAATTGCAGTGAGCTTACATCAGTGTCCACAGGCCAAAATAAATACAAACACTAAGAAATGTATGTTCCCTGGTGGCAGCAACACAAAACCCAAAGTGTAATCAAACAGAGTATTTTAGGATTTCCAAGATTAAAATCTACTAACAAATGATGTCATGGTTTCAACGGTTTCGGTCAGATGTAAAAACATTTTCAGTTTGCTCATGAATCCTTAGAGGTTCTAACATTAAACTGTGTGAACTGCAATGGAGATGAATTTGAGTGTGTCCTCCTTGTTTTGAAACCCACAGCCTTAATACACTCTAATTATTAAATTCGGGATACTGTACATTATTCTTAATATTCCTCAAGGAGCAAAGAAAACGAACGCTGAGTGTTGAGGTGCAAAATGCTGCAACACAGGAAATGTTCCAATAATTTTGGAGCTGTGTGTGGGCGTTTTAATGGTTTGAAGTTACGCTGGAAGAAAGTCCAGCAAAACCAGGGGATAGGAATGATGAGAGGCATCACATCACACAGTCCTAGAGAGACAAACAGAAAGACAGAGAAGAATTTTCTGTATCAGGATCATTTCTTACTATTGACTGTGACAGTCAAAGAAAGATGTGAGACAATCAGAGTGTTTGTGGAAAAAAAATCAAGAGTTGTGTGTGGTTCAAAAAGAATCAGTGGTTCAGAGCAGATGCCTTTGAAAAATCATCCATATGCCCTTTCTTGCATTTCACCAGCTGCTTTCCCCCCCCCAAGGTTGATAAATATCCATGCCTGAGTGCCACCTCTGTCACCACAGAGCAGATGCCTTTGAAAAATCATCCATATGCCCTTTCTTGCATTTCACCAGCTGCTTTCCCCCCCCCAAGGTTGATAAATATCCATGCCTGAGTGCCACCTCTGTCACCACAGACAGTTTAGTGGCAGGGATCTTTTCCCCACTGCATTCTGAGGAATAAAAACTGGGTTTTGATTTGCAAACAGGCAATTTCACTGTGCAGCCTGAAGGAGCAATAAGTGCTGGAACTGAGCAGCCAGCAGGGAAGAAAATATACTACAGTATAATGGTTCCCATTAACTCTCAAATGCCTGTATTTCTTCTCACTCTTTAGTCTCCTTTTGGTGATCTGCTGCTTTGTGAATAGAAATTGTAGTGAAACAGAGATAAGTATTAATTTAGTCAGACACTCATCTTAAAGGTTTTCACATATATTGTTGATACACATAGTGAAAAGTGCCTAAAGGTCTCTGCAGATACATAACTGAAGAATTTAATATATATGGTAAAACTAGCATAATCCATCCATTATCTATACCGCTTATCCTGAAAAGGGTCGCGGGGGGCTGGAGCCAATCCCAGCTGACACTGGCTGAGAGGCGGGGTCCACCCTGGACAGGTCCCCGTCTATCACAGGGCTGACATGGAGACACACAACCACACACACTCACTCCTATTGGCAGTTTAGAGTCGCCAGTCAACCTAAGCTGCATGTCATTGGACAGAGGGAGGAAGCCGGAGAGAACCCACGCAGGCACAGGGAGAACATGCAGACTTGACACTGTGGAGCTTTTCAAAAGAGATCGCAGAAACAGAATAACTGAAGATTTATACTGAGTCCAACTCATTACTTTTAAACAGAATCCCAGTCTCAGTTCTTTCTAGTTAGCTTTTGTTTCAGAGCACAATGTTCAGTGTGTGGATGCAGGTAAAGCTCTGGGCCAGAGCCTGTTTAGCTTTTAGTATATTTTAGGGTGATGAAAACACTTAGGCACTGTATTCAGTCTTTACATATCTGAGGAGCTGGTGGCTCTTGTAATGGTTTATTGGGAATCTAGGCACACTGTGACAAAGGTTGGACATCTGAACCAATGCTTTGTGGATAAACTGCCAATCAAGCCTGTGGGCCAGTGACCTTTTTGTTTATAATTAATTCACAGATCGTACCTTCAAGTGCTGTTAAGAGAACCTTGCCTTCTTTACTCCCACAAGTAGCGCAGATACCAAATAGTTTCATTCTTCAGCTGTGGGCCGAACAGAGGGTTGGTCTGGGCCAGGATGGCTATCAACCAGCTGAGAACAGGGAGAGAGAGAAGTGTTAATACACAGGCACATTTTAAAACTTTTCTCTTCAGATAACAGTTCTGCTGCAGACATCAGCACTACACAGAAACGCTAAAACTTTTCTCTGCAGACATCAGCACTACACAGAAACGAGTCCAAAAACACCAAAGACACAAGAGGCTCAGCCAACTTTCAAACATGTCCAGTATTAACCAGCTATCGAAGCACTTATTTGTAGGCCTAAATGAGAGTGAACCTTAATTTACCACCCTGTTAATCCCACATTATTGTCCAATTCGTTGCTGAGCTACCAATGAGTTCAACCTGCAGGCTGACGTGGACGCAGCATGTTTTGAGCTGGCTATCATCGCTGTGAAATCACACATAACAAGGCGTCATGTGGACGGTTTAAATGAAGCTCTTGTTACTCTAACAAACCGTTTTAAGGCCTGTAGCTCTTTAGCCCCACTGGGCATTGTAAGGCAGAGTCAACCTCGGGAATGATGATCATAAGAACAAAGCTATAGTAACATATAAGTATTAGGAAAATGGCAAAGATGAGTTTAACCTTCTCTATTTACCAGCCCTTGAGTCAGGCATATTGTTGGGCACCTAGCACCAGCTCATAAGTACCCACAGGTCAGCTGTACCATGTGCTCTTCAGGTAAAGTTTGGGCCTGGTGTATCACTGCTGATGACAAACTGACAAACAGAAAATTGTAAATAACTTCACCTGTTTCTTCCATTGCTTATTGTTTAGTAGGGTGCATTTTATTTGTTTAGTTCAAGCTAGTAGCTGCTGGCATGGCCATGATGTGATCTGACACTTACTGTGTACAAGAGCCCTTAAATTGGTGTAATTTCAAGTACTGTGCTGAGTTATTGTTTGTTAATGGCAAAAAATCTGACTGTAAGAAGCTGTATGCTAATTTGTGGAAGTTTATCTTTTTAAAATGTATTGTGTAGTTATATCTCCACTTCATGACTATCTGCCTTTCTTGTCTTTCTTATGTAGAACCAGCAACTCACAAGCACAGCAAGATATCTGGAATAAAGCTCATCTGAGTGGTGCTCAAGGTGGGTGTTGAGATGAAGCACAAGTCTGTGTTAAATATCAACTGTTTATCTGTCTCACTGTTGTCCTACCCAGACAGTACGAAGAGGTGCTACTGGTCAGTAACTGGCTTAAAGTTGTGTTTCATTACATTATAGATCCAAGTTGTAAAATGCTGGACTTTTCAATTAATGGGCTTTAAATGAAGCAAAAATACAACATAATGTTAACAGTAAAGGCAGCAGTAGTTTTCGTGTAACATGATTCCATGCTAATACAGCTTGTTCTAGGTTTATTTTGCAAATTTGTATTAGTGTATGAAGACAAAACAGACAGTATGAGAATACATGAGACAAAAGTACTACAAAATACTCTGCATCAACGTTTTGGACACACTTTCCCAGTGAATTGAATGGGGAAACTGTCCCACCTTTGACTGGTAGTGTATTAAATTTATTATTAAAATTTCTAGATGGTTTTTGTGCCTCTGCCTCCATTTGAGCTCACCCCTGCTCACCCAGGTACATAATTATAAAAAAGATAAAACAGAGCACACTACATTTCCATAGTTAGTGAAGGGTTATTGACACTGTGGAGGAGCGTGGGCTCCCCCTGGTGGTAGACTGATGATCTGCGTGCACATCCATCAGTATCTCCTACGCCTTGTCTTCATCAGGCTGTTTTAGGTTAACTTGTTTGATTTGAAACTGCAGAAAATTCATGGCGATAGACCTCGGTTTTATGACCAGGTTTTGTGTCCATGAGCCTGCTGGAACTGGTTTCTTTCACCACATATCCTCTGCTCCATAAATCTGCCATTTCTCTTTCATCTACTGTGCAGATCTGTCACTTGGCCGATGCTTCAGGAGGAGCAGTAGCGCTTCTGGGTTTTAAATTCTAATAGTAATTTGTTTTTCTGGATAGCAGAAACTGTTTTAATTGAAAAAGCAAACATCTTAATGTAAAGCTACACTCACTGGTCCCTCATAATGGTTAGAGGGAATATTTTATGTGCAATGTGTAATCAGAGTAGCAGGTCAGTGCAGCAAAGTCGCATCAACATGCAAAATGACAATAGCTTCACACCACAGAAGAGCCAGGTTTCTACTCACAACAGGTAGCAGCAGATCGCTGTGAGGATGAGACTGGTGACAATCACGCTGTCAGAGAGCAGAGAAAGTCCATCACACACGTGTCCAAACAGGCACTAAATCAGACTGAATAATCATCTCTCCATACAGTGACAAAATGTCATATTGATATGTAGCAGTTCACTGTTGTTATGGCTAAAATTCAATCTATAACAACATAAACCTTGAAAGACCCAATAACACACAGTTTGGGGGAAAAACTATTTTTATGATAAAAGATTAAAATAATGTAACTCAGTGGGGGTGAACTTATTTCGATAATTTAACAAATATCACATCTGTATGTGATGTGACAGCCATGTTTAGTACTGTATATTATTATTATTATTAATATACATATTTCACACCAAGGTTTTTGAGCTTACAATAGTTGGTAGTATGCTGGTAACATTATTAATTTATGGGCAATGTTGCAGACAGGTGAGAAAGACTGCTTTATGAAAATACTGCACCGAAAGAATTTATATATATCTAATGAAAACTACGATTTTTAGGTATTTACTTCACTGGATTCACAAAAAAAATGACATTCATCATTGATTAAATTGTTTACAAAATGCTGGTTGTCACTTCCCAGAGAGAGAGAGAGAGAGAGAGAGAGAGAGAGGGAGGGATGGACGGAAGGAAAGTGGATGGATGGAAAGATGACGCGCAGGGCCTCCATCACATGAGCAAGAGCAGCTCGCGTATTTATAAAGATACTATGCAGCTGAGTACAGAATAAACACTGAGTAATGAATAACCATAATTTGAATGTAAATGTGGAAAATAAAAGGAAATGCTAAATGAATCGCAGTTAATTGCAGCCAATTAACAGTAGCTCAACCACCTACCCCCGGTTGGGTCCTTTGGGCACTAAAAACGGGGCTACGACCCCCACCAGCGCCCATAACGTGGTGAAGCAGATCATCGGTAAGGCGAGAGAGTGAGAAACCATGATTTGATTCCACAGAAAAGCGCAGAGATGGAAGAATTAATGTCGGTTTGTTGCCTTAGAAATAAAGCGCATCAATGGCTGCTGAGCCAGTCCGTCTCTTCCGTTATGTTCCCGCCCACTTAGCCGATGCGTTGTTTGATTGGTACAAATCCATACGGAACATGTTTCCGATTGGTGAAGCTAGCTGCCTATCAGTGTTACAGTAAACGGGATTGGATGCGTGTTTGTGGCAGCATCGGCAGGCAAGCATTGTTTTTTTTTGTTTTGTTTTTTTCCTCCAGCTTCATCTACTTTGAGCCATCATTTTCTGATCATCTCCTGTTTTACCGAACAGGGTAAAGGAAATACAAACGACACAAAGCACACTCTTGCACTTAGTACCGGCATTTTTAATTGCCATCTTTTTAGTTTTACAAGAGTTGTGAGCTGACAGAGTTAGGGTCTTGGGTTGCTTTTTCAGTTACATACAGTGCTGTGTGCATTTTGAAATATGTGACCAGTGTCTTCACATAGCATTAAAGTAGCCTAAACCTGTGGCAATGCCAAATGTTTAGAAGTAGCCTATTCATTAAAATTTCTATATGTACCCTAAAGAGCCATTTACTGCTTGTCAGACTCAGTATTACCCTGGTGTAGGCCATTTTCTAATATTCCATCCAAAACTTATAACAAATGCATTCAACATGTAGGCTATCAGTGATTTATAAAATATATTCAATTGCCTGGAAATAACAAAATGTGAAGGTATAATGCACCATCGCCCAGACTACAGCATATGATAATGGATAGATTAAATAAAATTGGTGGACATTTACTTGGGGTCCTGTGTTCTCTGGGATTGTCACATGAATCACAGAGAAAACAATTTAAAGGATTTATGCCATGACAGTGCAGTATTGGACAAATGTCAGTCTGCAGTCTTTGTGTAATTTCCTGCTGTTCATGATAGTTTACCCACAAATATTCACTCCATCCTGACCAGAGACCACTGTTTTCCAGTTTTAAGTGGGTCAGCTTGCCAGGAAATACCAAATGACTTAGCCTGTTGTTCTCAGGTTATTTCTTATCAAGGTCACTTGATTCGTATAATAGATAGGCCAAGCAATACAAATATTAAAGCATAGCTTCACTGCAGTAACAATAAAACAATAGGCAAAATAAAACGAAATTCAACTCGACAAAAGATTAAAATATTGTTTCAGTCCAGTGACAGACAGTATGCTGATAACTGGTTCCCAGTTTAATAAATAAAAGTGCAGAAAAATCAATCAAAGACGGAAAGAGCAACATTTTATTTAGAAAAGTTAATAATTACATTTATTCTTTAAATTCTAAATCATGTTTAATATTAAACTACATTGAAAGTTTGACCACAAGGTTAATTTCAATACTTTGGTGGTTTTATTTTGATGGTCCCCATCGCCAGGCACATTTAAATTGTGTGCGTCACTGTTTTATTGTTGAAAGCGGCTTCCGGAAGTTGCATTTGACGTAATGGCTGTTAGCTGGATAGTGGTGACTGGACAGCCGGAGGAGGACCCGCGGGCGGTATTTGCCAATGCCAAGGACCGGTAGCTTCACCGGGGAGTTGTCAGCGCTGAGTGAACACTGAAAACGTGTCGTCTTGAAGGCTGTGACAGTTGAATGTGTGCTGATAATGTTGGACGGTAAAACCTGATGAAGTTCACCAGAGACATCTGCCGGTTGCTGGGCTTAGGCGGCGGTGAGTACAACTGCCAGTCAGTCTCTTATCAACTTTTGGTTTTTCGGTCAGATAAGCTGGTGACGCCGGTGGTTATGTGGACGTTAGCTGTGATTTAAAAGTAATAAATAATCTCAAAGTAACGGTATTCCAGCTTGTGATAGCACTAATTACCCCATGTAAAAACAATAAATGAAACCTCTAAATAACGTTTGACAGATGAGTAAATCCGTCACCAGGTAGGCTACGGTAGCTAACGCTAACTATACACTGAGCTTGAATGGAAATGTTGTAGACACTCCAACTTCTACCAAATACAACACAGCAAATGCCTAATAACAACAATAATAATAATAATGCTAAAATGATTAAAAATCTCTTTAATTAGCCTGACAAAAGTTGTTTTACTTTATTTTGCTTTTCATTTGGTCAAACTACTGCGTTGATATGGTAGTTTGTTAAATGTCAGACTTTAAAAGCCATATTTATTTATATAAAATGTGTAGTACAGTCAGGGTAATGATGAATATATTCTTGTTTAACATAGCATTAAATTATTTACCATGAAACCTGGATTCTACGTGCCCAACAAGTAGGCTGGGAGTATAGATGCTGGCAGCAACAGGCCAAGCTGGGTGGCCCAGATGTCCCCGTCTCCAGCTCCTTCTGGGGGACCTTGAGCTGTTCTTAGACTAGATGAGAGCTAATCTCTCTAAGTGTATTCAGGGTCTACCCCAAGGCCTCCTCCCAGTTGTGCATGCCTGGAAAACCTACGGTGGCAGACACCTAGCAGGCATTCTCCACTGACTCCTTGTGATATGAAGGAGTGATGGCTCTAGGTCCCTTGGGATGTCTGAACCCCAACCTTATCTCTATAAGGCTGGGTCCAGCGACCCTACGGAGGAAACTCATTTCAGCTACTTAGATTTATCTCATTTCCATAAAGCTCATGACCATAGGTGAGGGCTGATGCATAAATCAACTGGTACATTTGAGCTTTGCCTTCTGGCTTGTGAACAAGACCAGGATACTTGAACACCCCAGTGCATGTTGGAGGTCACGGCCCAGTGAAGCCAACAGAACTACATCATCTCCAAAAAGCAGGTCAGCCCTTTATTTTGTTTTTATTTTGGGTTTCTGTGGTTTGTTTACTTTGATAATTACTACAAATGATCAGATTTCAGTTGCGTTGGTGTTTAATAGGTGGCCACAGACTCTGGTTGCTGCAGGTCATCACACCAAACAATGTGACTGGCAAATGAGCTGTGCACTCAAGAATGTACAGCAACTAGTTGAACCGCAAATGCATTTGTGCTGTATGACTCTTACATTGTTAAGCCTGATTAAAAATAACTGGCCTTCCTTTAATGAAGGTTAAAGCTTGACTATCTCAAGCAAACCAAAGGTTAGTGCTACATAAACTTTGTTTCTAAAAACAAGTCAGCTGTTCAAATATATAGAGCTGAATATTACAGTGAGGCTAAAGGGAGATGCTTTAAATATGTTCCTTGACTGAAACCTGTGAAAAGCTACTCTATCAAAGAACCATGTTTGTGTAAATGACTTAAAGTGAGTTTATGGCAGATGTTAGCCACTTTCCCCTAAACAAATATGTGACACCCTTTTATGAAATAAAATGAATTATTGTGAGAAAAGAGCAGAGTTGCCATCTCGCACAACAACGGACATATTTGATGTGTCATCCAAAAAGCTTAAAATATTGGCTAATATACTAATTTTATTACTTCATACCATGTCAGAGGTCTGATTTGGATTTCGTGAGATGCACTGGAGCAAAACAATCCTACTGAAGTCGTCTGCTGATAGAAACTTGTGTATTTGCTGTGGATAAAAATGACAACTTGGAGTAGTCTTCTGGTTAGCAGTGTAATGTACAGGAAGCCAGTTATAGTAACAGTAAAAATGTTCTTGGCTGTGAACACGAGAAAACCTTTAGGCTAATGTAGCCTGTTACAGAGTACATCTGTTAAGATGCTGACAGTAAACGGAGCGCTCCTAATGTGTAATCAGTGCATGTGCCCTTGAACCGAAATACACAAGTTATTTTGTTTATATAAAAGTGTTACACAAAGCTAGCAGAAATCAGTAGCAACTGAAGAGATTGATGACAGTATGCTGTAGCATCCTTTAAAAACCATTACATTTGGACCTTTGCTGCTTCCAGCGTGGCTTTGGCAGCTAGAGATATTTCAGGTTCTGGTTAAACAATCGCCTACATCCTGAGCACTTCCTCTCATTTGTTTCTTCCAAACATAAATTTGTCAGTTTCCAACCGTATTCATCAAACCCTTGTGTCTTTGAACTGTCTCACTCTGGTACAACATGCTCTTTGCCTTGCCCTCACTTTATCTCCTCACGCCATATGCACTCGTTTTTTTTTTTTTTTTTATGTGAAGAAAAAAAAAACCCTCAGAGGAATCAGTCTGCAGATATCCCACAATTCTTAGCATGAATACAGACGTCAGTGATCACTGTGCATGGGTAGGTTACTATAATTCTTGACTGGAAATGGGTTAAGGGAATAATCTTGACGTATTAGCTTTTTTTGGAGCGTTCACCTGCATCCCATGGTCTTCATCATAAGCTTAACATTTTTTAGAAACTTCTAGCAGTATGACAGGTGTTGCTTCTCGATCAATGCTTGATTGTGGTCACTGAGTTGACTAATATATTTTGGCAGAGTTTTCCACAATATTTAATGTCTTACTATATAAAGGTGTAGCAGTTTTTAAAAACCGTTAATTGTGGGAAAACCGGCTGTTTTATCTCATTCATTGCTGCATTGACAATTGTTACTTTCATGGGCTTTAAAAGCCATGAGATACTAATCGACTATGATCGGTGAATTTACTGAGTTTTGACTCAGGCTCTACTTATCTTTTTGCAAGCTTTCAACCATCATTATTTCACATGACCTGTTTTAAAGATGCATTGCTGTAACTCAGTCAGCATCTCTGTTTATCAATGGATGAAGTTTGGGTACATCCTTCACAAATCAACAGTTTCAAATGCCACATTTTCTATATTTAACTTTAACATTCTCCCCCCCAGTGAGTTCAGTGAGATTCAGCTGAAATCCTAGGAAAAACACCATAAATTGATCTGTTGCACAGTGCTCACTGAAATAAAGTAATGTGTCCCTCATACCCTTTAATGATTTTTGAAAGCATGGAGAAAAAATAATGAAAATCAGAGATGCACAAGTTTATCTGCAGTTTGGTAAAAGTTAGCGGAGCTTCATACATGTCAGGTGACCTGGTGTGATCTCAGCACAGCTGAGGAGTTTAGGTTGGCCGTCTTGTTTCAGCACAAATCTGCTGAGTCATTGGGAGTTTGTCTGCCTGTACTTTTATGTGTATTTAATTTGTTTTAAACTTCTGTGCTGTGTGGGGCCTGCTGTTAATCATGTTGCGGGGACATAAACCTGTTTACACAGTCACACTGTGGGGACAAAAAGCAAGTCTTCAAAACTTTATATTACATTTAGAATGATGATTTAGGGTAAAGTTAGAGTTAAGCAGGGTAAGGTTAGGCTGTGTCTCCAGGAAATGACTGTAGGTCAAGGTAATGCCCCCTGAAGATATGGAAACGCAACATGCATCTATAACTGTGCACAGATGAAACTCCACAAACATGAGAAAATGATTGAAGGTTGTATTTTATGAACTATGACATAAACCTTCAAAGAGAAATGTCAGATGCACTGTTTCACACAAACCATTATAGTATTTTAGTTTTTTGTAGGCTTTCATAACTGTACTGACAATTTATCATAAGATGTGTAAAGATCTGGCTGATCCCTAACACTGCACAACATGACCATTATTTCCCACAGTTTGGAAACACATAAGCCACTCTGTTTTATAAACAATTATTATTTTAAATTAAAAGCCTCCCAGCAGATCAGCAGCATAATTCCTTCAATTTCCTGGAAGACTTGTTTTAGGAAGCAGCTACAGGAAATATTGACTCTCACTAAAACGGCAAACAGTGTGTGAGAACTACTTCTGTTGGAGAAACTGTGTAGCTGTTTTATAGCCTCTGTCTGGGGCCAGCCTTCATTTTGGTTGCACTCACAGCCAGTATTTGAGTAAAAACTTTTATTTGAAAACATAACCATCCTTGAAGAACTGCATTTTTATGCAAAATAATGGCATTGTAGGTTTCTGTCTTGTTCCAGTTTGGTGTGAACATAGTTAGAAGTTATTGGCATGTTCAGGGTTTTCACTGACATTGTGTTTTGAATAAACTACAAAAGTATAACAATTCTCTGTGTTCCCCAAATGTATGTACATAATCTGTCTGTAATAAGGTAACAAAGACAAAGTGAAGGCAGGGTGAGGTGTGTGTGTGTGTTTTAACATGGGTGTGTGTTTGAACAAGAGGAAGGAGGGGAGGAACCTGCCACCCTCCCTGGCAGCATTAACCAGAGTTCACCACAGGTGGTTTTCGTATCAAACAGTAATACATCTCTTGTTATCTTTTGTCCCTGAACCTTTTTTTTTTTTTTTTTTTTTTTGCACTGACATTTGGGATTTTTGAGAAAACTGCTAACTGCCTTAACAGGGATCAAAACTTGACATCCTGTCTTCTGCATGTGGGAACCTGCTGAATCATTTTTTTTGTTGTCCTTCGTAGATGCTGTAAGTGTTTCCACGGTGTTGTTTTTGTTTTTGTTTTTTTAAGTCTGAGTAAATATTATGAACCTAAGCTTTATGCAAATGAGTCACATGATCAAATCAAACCTGGCAACAGCCTGACTATCATATGTACACTGTCAAGTTTTTTATTTTCTTTTTTTACAAAGTAGTTTGAGTTACTTTTTCTAAGTAGCTTTAGTTAATCAAACTCGATTTCTCCCTAGAGTAGCTTTGTTGTAGTTAAACTTCTTCCAGTGTGAGCTAACTGGTAGCTTACACTGTAGTTTCCCCAACACTGCTTAATGCTAAACAGATCATTTCTGAGTAGATAATCTGTTCCTGGACAGAGTTTTCTCTCTACATCTTTCATCTGCCAGAAGCTTGTGTTTGAGGAAAAGGAATGTTGGCTTGAGATTGTAGCGTATACCCACACAAAGTACTTTTTATATCATTTATCCATAATGTGAAACTGTTTCTCTCCATCAGCATGTTTTATTCTATAAAAGCAGTGCAGGTTGTTGCCTGCTGATGACAAACTTTATATTTGTTGCACTGAAAACTCTTTACCAGGTACAGTGAACATTGATGTATGTTGGTATCAGAAAACAAAGAATTTATCAAGCTTTAACATCATAAGTTTTCTTCTTTTAGTGCAAAACAATTTGTAAGAACCTATAAAAATCCATAGCAATGCGTGTTTACAACCAAAGATGGAGATGAAATCAAGTAAAGGAGGTTTCCCACCAGCTTTTCACATATAGTTAAAAGAAGGTTTGAATAACAGTTGAGGTAAAAATGTGGCTACGTGTCAAGGATGTCTTGGCTCCTCATGAGAACAGTGAGCTTCATAGTTTTGTGCAGCAGACTGATGAGATAAGGAATCTGTTCTTCCTTGTGTGCTCCCAGACTAAACTCCTGAGCTGAAGCCTTGTTTCTTTTATTGCGGTGAGAGCATACGTGTTTGTTTCCAGAATGGAAGCAACCAGCTGCAGAAAGTAGGTGGGGCACTGAACATATTCAGCAATGCTTAGTTTTGTGCAGGGAGAAAATTCCACAGACAAACTGAACACAAACAGGAAGACATTGGTTGCCTCTGATGAAACCCCTCAAAGCTTTTTACGGCTTGCTGGCACTCGCCACACACACAACATTGCTGCATAATTGAGTTACACATATTCCTATTAGCATTTTGACAAACACTCAAGCTGCCTTCATTTTGCTGCAGAGATTTAACGGTACATCAAACATATTGTTCCTCAGGCTATAGATTTCACTCCCAGGATGGTTCTTTGGTTTTCTAGTTAAGGACAAATGCAGAGGGGGTGGAGAGAGGCAACAACAATCTTTTATTCCATCTTTTTTTGCATGTTGATTGTACAAAACCTGAACAGCTCCTAAAGTAGCTTTTCCCCAGTTTTAATTAGTATTAATGCCTCATTAACCTGTTTACATTTACCGTTTAAAGAGGTTAAGAGTGAATTCAAAAAAATGTTTCAGGAGTTAATTTGATACTGTTTTAGATTTTTTTTTCTTCATAGCTTTTTGACCAATTTTAATGAAAATAGACAGGCGACAAATGAAGGGACAACCCAACATACAGTGTCCCAGTGAGGAGCTGGGCCACCACGTGCCACCAGAACAGCTTCACCTTGGCACCGTCTATCCAGGTCTCTGAACTCACCTGGAGGGATGAACACCGTTATTCCAGCAGATGTTCCCTCATGTGGTGTTGTGATGATGGTGGTGGAGACGCTTGTCTAACACGTCGCTCCAACTTCCCCCATAGCTGTTCACCTGGGTTCTGATGACTGCGAAAACAACAGCATATGATTCACATCGTGTTTATCCTCTTCAAACCGTTCAGTGTCCCCTCGTGCCCTGTGGATGGGGCCACTGTCTTCCTGGAAGAGACCACTCGTTTATTCTGGTTTTTCCTTTTAATTGTCACCATCTGTGTGTACAGTCAAGCCAGAAAGGTTAGGAATAAAACAAATATATCTATGTAAACACATTTGTTTTCATTCATCGTCGGGATTTTACATTCATTTCCTAGAGACTCACCTTAAGTATAGCCTTAGCTTGCTTAATCCTAACCCAAACCAAGTTTGACACCCAAAATTTCAATTATTTACACAGTGGGGACTAGTTTCTGGTTGAGTCCTCACAGTGCGAGTAATACCAGGCACACACACAATATTACCAGAGTAACACAAAATGTCTTGCAGAGACGCACACTGTAGTCCAAAGTTTCTAACCAGCAACGAATGGCAAAAGCAGCTCTGTGGAAGCCGGATTTAGCTTGTAACTGAGGGAAATGAGAGAAATTCGTACTGATACTGAGTCTATTTTTGATGAAGCTGTCTCAACCCAAGGGATATCATCAACTGATACTATCACTGGGCAGCTCATACATGTCCAGCAGAGAACCACTGATTGTAAATAATGGCTGAATCAGCTGGGTTTTACCAAAAAGACTGGTTGGTAAAGTTTTCTTTGGTCCTGCGAGTTATTTCTCTGTGCAGTGTTTCTGGAATGCCTCTGGGCACCTGAACACTACTACTATCCAGAGACCCTCTGGATATTTCTGGCATGGCAACCTCTTAGTGTGGTATGAGGGGAGGCTAGATTTCCTCTTTTCAGCACACACTTGCGTGGAACCATGGTAACATGCAGCAAAAGCTGCTTGGCTGAAATTGCTTTACTACTTGTGGACACATTAAAGTTGAACAAACAAGATAAAATGGGTTTTGTCATGTGGTTTATTCCACTTACTGTACCATCTGTTCTGCTAACAGTAGTTTACACAGTACCAGAAACGGATGCAAAGAAAAAACAAAAACCTCCTTTTGTCATTTGCATGTTTTTCAGTTTAAACAAATAAAGGGTGAACTGCAGTAGGCGTTGGCAAAGTTAAGTCCTCTCAGTTTATAGAGCAGTCCTGACTGACACTACTCATAAGACACAGCACATATTAGATCACCCCCTTGTTTTCCTCTACACCGCCCAATCAAAAGCTGCCACGAGGGCTCCTGTCTAGTTTTGCATGGGGAGCGACAGTGGGGCATTGCGAGGCAACATTCACAAACATAGAAACACGGTGAGGTGTCAGTTTTAAAAGGGTGCATTTAAACCTAATGTCAGAGAAACTGGCATCAGTAGAAGGGATGTCTGTCTCTCCATGTTGAAGCTTGTCTCATCCCTTACAGCAAAACACTGACATAATAAAAATCTATTTGTTTTTAGATGGGACAGGTGAGGAGGAGATGGAGGTTCAGGATGGACTTCCTGATCCAGCCAACAAAAGAAAAGACCAAGGATTATCTCAGGTGAACAGAGATTTCTGTAGTGTGTAAACTATGCCACCAGTTGTAGACATGCTGCACTTCTGTTGATTTAAAAAAAAAAAAGAGCTAAATAAACTTGTAGGGTAGTGTACAAACACATTTCTGATGTCTCATAAAGCTGAACTTGGTGCTGAGGTGCCTTGAGGTGCAGTATCATTAATGGCCACTAGATGCTGGATCAAACTCTGGCTTCATGGAGATTTGTTCAGATGGTGCCAGCCTTTCTCCAGGCATACAACATTTTTCACAGAAGACATTTATCTTAAAATATGTTCTCTGTCTCTACAATTAAAGAACTTCAGCAGCAATTCTGAAGTTAAGCCATTTTATGGGCATGCCAGTTTAGGTGTGGTGGCTGTTATGTAAGCATGAGCATCTGTCAACTAAATACTGTGTGTGTATGTCTTGAGTAGGCCTCACTGAACAATGAGGATGGCTGGGATAATGAAGAGAGAGCAAGGAGGAGGGCTGAGAGGAGGAGAGCTAAAAGGAAGGTGAGTAAAAAGACACCAGTTTGATATGTTTTACATGTACCAGTACAGATGGACTGGTACCAAAACATGGAAATAATTCTTTAAACAGCAGCTCTGCTCAGAAGAACAGATGTTAACTTTGTTAACAGTTTAGATGCAATAAAATCTTATTTGTCTTGTGGTATTGTCACAGTCAGTCTGACTTTGTCCAGATGTAATTTCTATATGAACTGAACATCATCAGAAACAAGTGGGTGAATTGGAATATCCCCTTATTAGCAACGTCAGTTGAGTTCTGTGGTTCATGTTGCAGCTCACATCTGAGTTTTTCCTCCCCGCTGTCGCCAGGTACTTGCTCAAGTGGGATTTGTTGGGTTTTTCTCTGTTGTAGTAGCAATAAGATCTAGACCTTACTGTGTAAAGTGTTCTGAGATGACTTTTGTTGTGATTTGGCGCTATACAAATAAAACTGAATTAAATATTTGTCTGTGACTCATCTGCTAACTAAAATAAATGTTTGCTACATTCCACACATCATTGCACCTGTTACCACACCCTTATACTCATGTCACCCGTTGCTCCACCTGTCAACACACCTTTTTCTCTGTATTTCCCTTCTCCTCTGTTTCCGTGCATTTTACAACACCCTACTCATAACAGGGCCGGGCATGTAAAGCTAAAATGCTATCTGATATTCACAGGGAAACCTCCACCGCCACCACCCACACACACACACAGACACGCCATAGCCTCATATTGCTAACGTGCTGTGTGCATGCTGTGACTTTACCTGTAAGTTCCCAGTGATCTGTGGCGGTGGGAAGCACATTCACCAGGTTTTTGGCAACATGCCGCTCAGCTGTTGCACCGAAATCTGTTACCCGTTAGATTTTGTGGCCACAGCTGCACATTTTCATCATTTGTTGCATCAACAGTGAGCCAGAAGAAGAGCGTGTCTGTAAACTAGTCCGAGTCAGGTCTACACTCTTATGGTAATGTTAAGCGATTTGTTTCACAGTATAAATGACAGATTTTTACCATCATGTAGCCATACTGCTTCAGCTTCTACTGCTGCGATTGGTCTGCCACTGTTTGCCTGGTCTATGTGACCGGTGGATATATAGAGCAGAAGTGAAGGTTAGTTTTCTATCAAGGAAGAGACCATTAACTTTGGTTGATCATGTTAATCGCTCCAAACATAGTATATGTCAGTGTAAAGAAAATGAAATTTGTTACTTACTGTAAGGAAATATTAAAGACTATCTGAAGAAACGGCTCATTGGGGTATGTTAGTCATTACATGTTACTCTACCTGAAAAACATTTGTCAGTCACCAACAAAATGTTTTCTGCTGCGTTGCCAACCTCTCTCCTTCATTTAGGCAAAGGCTTTCAAGTATGGGATGAACAGAGAACCAGTAAAACCCTGGTCACCATTTCCCATCAGAATACTATGTGACCTTACTGTACCTGTACAATAACTGATTAAAACATTGTTTTTGCAGCTCTGTCTTCCTCTCATAATCATTTTGCACACATTTGCTCTTATTTGCGATCATCACAGCCAATACTACAGAGGGCACCATTTCTGATGGGCTGTACACGCTCTTCTTCTGGCTCACTGTCGACACAACTAATGATAAAATGTGCAGCGGAGCCCCCCTGTGGTCACAGATTTTGGTGTAACACTGGCTTTGCTTTAGTCTGAAGAGCAGCACCCAGTGTTTTCCACTTGCTTATATAATGGCAGGTGATTGTCACATATGATGCAGTCGTGGTCAGAGACGCCGTTTCAATACTTGTCAGACGACTGCACAACCTACATGCATTATCATTATACAGTTTATTCCATTGTACTGCAATGTTTTTTCTTGATGGGACCATACACTCTGGTGAACAAATGCCAATCCCAGCTGACCTTGGCCTGAGAGGCAGGGTCCAGCCTGGACAGGCCACTAGTCTGTCACAGGTTTGACATGTAGATAAACACCCACGGGCAATTTAGACTCACCTAAGTCAACCTAAGCTGCATATCTTTGGACTGTGGGAGGAAGCTGGAGTACCCAGAGGGAACCCACACAGAAAGGCCTCGGGTCGGCCGGGGCTTGAACCTGGAACCTTCTTGCTGTGAGGCGACAGCACTAAACACCGCGCTGCTGATTATTAGAAAATCACTTCCCATCCCTAATTCATAACTGTTCCCACCCATGTTCTCACTTTTGACACCTCTGCCTGTGCCCATACTTGTCCCTGTACCATCGCACAGCCACCATGTTCATGTTCTTGTTTCAGAGGCAAAAAGAGCGAAAGA